ACATATGCATTTCTTTAATCCGCTTTAGTTCTTGTGCCCTCTTGGATTTTAGTCGAGCAACATGTCAATTACATTCTCTTTTTCAAGCCTGGTTTGTCGTTTTAGTTCGAGGCTGAAAGATGGTGTACTCTCTCAATTTTGGACCCAATCATATGTTAATCATGTCTTAAATATACGGTATTTAATTGATTTAACATCTATTTGCATAAATTTCTAAAAAAACACTTTTAAAAGAGAAAATTAAAAATAAAAAAATGAAAGAAAGTTTTTTATAAGTTAAAGTTAGTATAAATATAAGTTAATTTGTAGAAGTTTTCTTTTATTAACTTCTCTAAAATCTTATTTTTTAATTATATTTACAAAAAAAATTAATTTTTCTCTCCTGTAAGTGATTTTTGAGAATTTTATCCAAACAAATCTTTATCACCATATATTATGCCACATTTTTCTAATAACTCTTGAGGCTTTGATTCATGAATAAGATCTTAAGTTTTAAATAGTTTTAAATGCTTCGATATAACTCATGTAGTTCAAAATTATATAAAATAAAATAAATTAAGATATGTGTAAGGAATAAAATGAGTTAAATAATATATATGTATAAATTAAAGGACTAAAATATAAAGATTAAAAATGTATTTGACTACAAGTTCAGAAGATAAAGCAATGAAATGTTGAAAAGTTAACCTCAATACGATCTACTTTCATCGGTTTTGGCTTTGACATATATATAATGTGGCCAAAATCAGTGAGTTTTGGGTCCATGTTGTGCTGCCAACCTCTTCTTCTATCACTGTTGGATACTTTCTCTTAGAAGCATTGTTTTGTTCTAATTTGTGACACCTCTACCCTCTGATTTCTCATTTATATTTGATATGTTGCAGTTCGGTCTTCTTTTATTTTCGCGTTTCTTGTTTCTCAAGTTTCCTCACCACATTCCACGGTTTATGCTATTCCCTAAACTAATTCTAATTTTCTTACTTTTTAAATCTCTCTCTATCAGTTGATTAAAGAATTAATTGAGTCGCTGATTCAGGATAACTTAAAAAACAAAACAAATCAAATTAAAAAATGGGTCATAAGAGTTTTCTTTTTCTTAAACGTGTACATTACATGCCCTTAAAATTTCAATTAAGCAAGTTAATGGTTGATGTATTGGGCTTATTATGATGCCTTTCCAACTAGTTGATTTCTTTTGAAAATATTATATATTCTTGTATAAACTCAAATATTAAAATTAAAATTTGAAAACTGTATTTAAGGAATTGTACTTAAATTTTATCCTTTTAAAATATATAATTTTAGTTGATTGTAATTGAACCAAACTTTCATATTTTTAAAATTAGAGAAATTAAATATCTTTATTTTAAAATACAAACAAAAATTACATATTGATGAAAATAAAAAGACTAATAATGCAACTTACAACCCCCATATATATATATATATATATATATATATATAAATTAATCTTATATTATTATTTTTTTAATTCATCAGAGCTGAGCCCTGTAGCCAGATGTTTGTGGTACCATTATATACATTTATGCAAACCTGGATTAATATACCCAATTAGCACATATACACTAGCATGTGAACAGTTGTTGTCACCACAAAATAAAAATCATTATAAGGTCATAAGTGCACATCTCATGATTGGCGTTTCATTACTCAAAGCTGTATCCAAAACTTGAATTTTTTAAGATTTAAATATGTTTTAAATTTTTTTAATTTAGAATATATTTATTTTTAATTTCTCAAGTAGATTTTATATGATACTATTTAACATTTTAACAAAGTTTAAATATAAGAATTAAAATAAGATTTTTTAAAATTATAAGATTAAAAAATAAATTTTAAATTTGAAAAATAAAAAATAAATTTATCTTAAATTTGATGAACTAAAAACATATTTAAGCTCTTTTGATCCATGATCATGTAGTGAAATGTAACATCTTGTTTAAGCTTTTAGAAGTCAAATACATTGATTATTTTTGTATCTTTAAATATTTTAAATGATTGCACATTACACCACTCTCCACAGGTAATAATAGGGACTCATACATATAATTGTAACATTAAAAATATTACATATATCTTTTAAAAATATAAATATGCTTCATAATTATTTTCTTTGGTTTTCCATATCTACTACAATTAGGAGGTAGTAGTGAAAATAGGCTTAATCTTAACTTTCATTGAAAATATATATGGTTTGATTATAACTTCTTTATCTATCATATGTTTTTCTAAAGGTAAAGTCTAACTTATATGAAAATCTGGTCTGACTTAAAAACATATTTAAAATCTTACTTTGTAATAATTTAGTATTAAGAAATATAATAATTTATACTAGATTTTACATAATTGAGTCCAATTTATTTATACAACATAAACTTAATTTTAATGTCTAATATAAAATTTATGATAATAACTAATTTAAAAACATATTTTATAATAATATCTCTAAATTAAACATAAATTTAATACCCTTTACTGTTTAGATTTTTTTTATATCAATGTATACAATAAATTGAAAACAAAAAAGGTAAATGTATATGCTGAAAATTTCATTTTTATCAAAATTTAAATTTTATATTAAAAGTCATTATGTCAAGTGTGGAAAAAAGATAAATACTAGAGGAGGTTTGAATAATGTATATAAAAAACTCATAAGTTTTCCGTAGTATAGTAGTAACGCTAGTCAAATGAGATGTAAGGAACAATTAGATGAGATGTAAGGAATAGTTAGATGAAACACTAAGTATTTTTATACTATTTCATTTCAATAACTAAAATTACGTTCAGTTCTTAATCCAAACAAATTGAGTTTCACTATTTTCAAACAAGTAGTGACTTATTGAAATGAAGTACTCATTCAACAAGTCAGTTATGGTTCAATACTAAGTATTCTTTAACTAGTCTCTTCAAGCAACAACCCAAGTATTTTTTTTCCACAATAAGTCTCTCTAAGCTTAACAACCAAATATTTTTTTTACGGTCAAACCTCTTATGGCTCAAAACAAGTATTCTTTTATAGAAGAACTTCTTCAGACTCAATCTATTAAGACATATTGTTTTATCTCACTTAGACGTTATACAATCAATATAGTGCAATAAGATTTTTACGAGAGAGAATAAAGTACATATACACGTATGATTTATAGTGTATCTCTTTTGAATATGCCTCTTATCTTTTTAATATATTTCATATATTCTTCTTTCTGAGCCTCAAACCTTCTTATATAGTAACTTGGAGAAGATGATTGTTGCAATACTTTGAGTTTAACTCACAAGTTTACTTTGAGCACAAAATGTATTTCACTAAATAATATCTTTTATCTAATCAAGGAGACTACTTATCAACTTTTCATACTAAACGGAGCTTGTAAAAGCAATGTTAGTGCGAAGCAGCTATAACAGTGACTTTATATATTTTTCTCTATGATTTTAGGTATCTTAATTTTGATGGAAAGCATGATTTTTCTTTTTAAGAAATTAATGAGTTCTAAGATGACTTTTTGATTCAATCTGTTAAGGAATGAAGCATTCAATACAAGTTTTGTCGTTAGTCTCAATAAATAATAATTAAACATGTAATGTGTATAAGAAAAATTGTATGTTTAATCTGATTTACATTATCTTATGAACAATTTACATCTTACACTTCGTTTGATGAGCATTTTTTTAAAGATATTTTCAAAGACATTTTTGAAAACCTTTTCTCTCATAGAAAATGTTTCATTTGTTAATATTAAAATTCTAAAGTTTATGAGATCCAAAATCGTCTTTTTGAACTTAATATGAAATAGTTCATCACTCATTTCTTAATTAAGGACCAAGATTCAATCATCGGCTTAGATATGGAATTGCAATTGGAGCTATCACTTTAGTTTTACTAGAGCTAGTCTAATAAGAAGAAATTATACCTTCTAATTAAATTAAAAAATACATGACTTTTATTTTTAAAAATATATTACATTATATATAAGATCATTATATTATATTATATTATAAAACACTTTAAAAAGTTAAGTATATGGTTTAAGTATTTACAAGTTTATCTTCATAGAAAAAAATTGATTTTTAAATTTTAAAATATTATATTATTTCTATCTATAATATATAGTATGTATGTTATCTGAAAGATTGTAAAATGTTAGTGGGGCTCTTGCCCCTTAGTCTTTAACTTGGATTCGTCGTTGCTTTCTACCATTGCAGCTCAATTTTTGATGAAATCTTGTAAGGTATTTGGTTGAAATGTTGGTGTTGATAGGACAGTGAATGCATTTATCCGATTGTAACATTCCTTCCATAGTAAATAAGCCACTCTACATGAGAAGAAAAATGTTCTACATATACGTAAGATTTGTGCAATTGTTGCATATCCAATTATGTTCTGTTATAACTTTATTATATTAATATAAAGACACTACACTTTAAACTTTTTATAATAATTTATTAATTAGTTACAGTAAATTTCACAAAATTTAATTAAAGTTTACATATTTTATATTTTGGTTTTATTTATCAACACCAGCTCGAATTCTAATACTTCTAAATTTGCATGCACTAGGAAAGGGTTGATTGACAGCTAGTTCTATTTATTAACAAACAAAATAAGTAAATAGATAAAATTAATTAATTAATTAATTAGCACAACACAAAGCTTGTAGAAGCTGATGACACGCAACCAAAAAAGTAAAATAAAGCAAATACACCACCAATTGAGTAATAAACATTTGAAGGTTAATTTGCACAACTACAACAGCTAATTAAGAACCAGCCTTTAGATTAATTTTTAGAATTCCGTTGGTATATAACTTAATTTGCTCAAACCCAACACACTCATAACTAATCCCTCTTGGAAAAATAACTCCAAAAAACTTCCCTACACCAACCCTAGCACGTACCCTATACAACAACATCACCGTCACCACCAACTTTCTCTCTCGTGACATAAATTTTGATCACAAGAAGAAAAGAACATGCATAACCCCATGCCCAATCTCTCTCCCTCCGTTTCCACCGTGCCACCCTCAAGCCTGGCCACCAACAATGAACTCGACACGTTCACCAAGTTGTTCCTCTTACTAATATTCCTCTCTCTATTCCTTCGCGTGTGTTACGTCTACATCTCCATGCGTCGTGACCGAAACCTCAACGCTAATAACATCCAACATGGTGACGCTCAAAACAACACCACGGGGCTTCCCTATAACGTTATAAACTCGTACCACACTTTCCCTTATAGCAAGACCAACAACGTGGCCACCGTTTACGACCACGAGACCACGTGTTCCATATGCATCTCGGATTACGAGGAGTCGGAGATTTTAAGGATGATGCCGCAATGCCGCCACTACTTTCACAAGGATTGTGTTGACGTGTGGCTCAAGGTTCATGCATCGTGTCCCATTTGTAGAAACTCCTTGGTGGAAGCTCGTAACAATAACTTAGAAGAAGTCTAATATAATTATCCAGTTAAGTTGAAGAAGTAGTAGAACTTAGGTTTTCGGGAATTCCTTCTTCTTGCGCCAATTCTTCTAGTTTCTTTTTAATTTGGCTTTACGTGCCATTTAGGAGAGTTGTATCAGTTTTTTTGTGCAAAGTAGATTCGGAGCTTGCGTTGTATAGTTTTTGAAAAATGATGTAGCTTCTTTTTTTTTCTTTATGGGAGAAAAGAAATGAAGGATAAAGAGGAAAAATGAAAGTCGTGGATGTAATAAATAATGTAGAGAAAATGAAAAGAAAGAAAAAAAAAATGGTGAAAATAAGATAGGAAAAGATGTGTATATAAATATTATAGCTTATATATATAGAGATAGAGAAATAGAGGGATGATCTACTTATTTTAAAAATAAGTCTAGACTTACTTCACTCAATAATTCGTACTTTACATTAAATTTTAATAATTTAACCGTTGAATAAAGTCTTTAATGCATAAATCAAATCTATTAATTTTTAAAAAAATTTGAAAACTATTTAATATTTTGTTTCTTTAATTCAAATTAATAAACAATTATAAAAGTATTTTATATGTTAATTTAAATTTATATAATGAAATATTAAATAGACTTAATTTATATATTAAAATTTTTTAATTCAACCGTTAATCGCTAAAATTTGATGTAGAATATACTTACTCTTTTTTAAGTAAGTAGATGTCTCTTCATATATAATTATTTAGTATTTTTACATTTTTTTCTCTCTAATTTGATTTTTCAAAATTATCACTATGTAAGTTTCAAGCTTAGGTTATGTGTGTTGTCAAATTCTTATATTAAAATGTTAATTTCCTTACGTGATAATAATATCATGGTGTGACATTTCAACCCAATATTATTATCTGTCACGTCATTAAAAAAAAAAAAAGTTAGGTAACACTAGAGAAGCAAAAAATGAATATATATATATATATATTAAAAATGAAAAAAAAAACTTAAAAAGATAACATATACTTGTAAGTAATGGTGGATTAAAAAAATTTCAGGGTGAACAAAAAAGTAGTCTATAATATTTTTACATATGAAAAATATTACAATTTTTTTTTATAAAATATAAATATCAACACAAAGGAAATCTAAAATATATTTATGGGGAAACACTTAATTTTTTTTATAAGCTTCTACACATTTTTTTTTTATAAGCTTCTACTATGTTCAAATTTTTTATATAGGGATGTCCAATCATGCTATGTGTTTAGTTTGTTTGGAGGAGGACGAAACCATATTGCATACCTTGAGGGACTATAGCTTCACCACAACAGTTTGGTGTCCCTATGGATGGTCTGTTTCCTCCAGACTTCTTTGCCAGTGATGTGTATTATTGGATCATGGTCAATATGAAGGTAAGTCCATCCTTTGATCAGGATTAATTGAGGGGGTCATCTTTGTTGTCAGTTTAACTAGGCTCCCTCTGATTTTTTTTAGAAACAAGGTGGCTTCGCAAAACAATAAGGGCACAGTGGCTCAAGGTCGTCATCAGATAAAAGCTTATGTTTTGGAGTGTAATAGAGTTGGGTTTAGGTCTTGGCTTAGCTTCATTCTATTGGAGATAAGGGAAGTCCATCTATTCTTTGGGAGCTTTCCTCTCATACGGGGACTTACAAGTTGATTTTTGATGGAGTTGTGAGTGATTGGATTGCTTCTTGTGGTGGTGTATTACGTGATAGAATTAGTGCTTTTGTGGTGACTTAATTTTTCATGTAACTTGGGTAATTGTTTGGTTGTTCATGCTAGGCTCTAGGTTATTTATCACAGCCTAAAGATTGTTCGAAATAGCCATATCGATAGCCTGTTATAGTGGAATATGACCTTGGTAGTGAAATTTTTGAATGATGGTTGTTATCAACATCTTTCATGTTACTCCTTAGTTAATAGAGTGGTGCATATTGTCACAAATGATCATGACATGACATGCATTTACACATTTTGAGAAGCTAATTAGGTCATTGACAAATTGGCTAAACATGAATGTGCTCTACTAGAGAGGTGTCCATATCTTTCATTATCCCCCTACTTGGATCCAAAATTCGTTGCTTGCTGAATGTTCAATTATGTCTTTCTTTAGAGGTTTTTTGGTTTGGGCTTTAGTTCCCTACTATACAAATAAAAAATAATAAAAAAATCAAGTATCATTATTTCATTTCAATGTCATTTACTTATTTAAGACTCTTTATTTGATTCATATGTTGGATCTATTTGCTTAAACTTAAATAAAAGAGTCTAGACAAGCATGTTAAATCTTTTTTTTGAAAAAATGGTGTTTATTTAAAAAAAAAAAAAAGTTAAAACAAACAACTCATTATAATTTCATTTTTTTTTGTCTATACTTATCTAATTGTTACTTAAAAAACAACTTCATGATAATTTAGTAAAAAAAATTAAATTAATATTGAATACTATCAAAGTAGTTTAATAGTCATGCTTTAATCACTATTGAAGATGATTTTTTTTTAATGTTTAGTAGTTTAATGTTTTGTAATAAAAAAAAGGTAATACTTAAATAATCACGAAAACATTAATGTTTTTTTTCGATGCAGCTTAGGAAAAAATTTATTAGGGCCCTTCCATTAACCTGTGCCGTGGGTACAAATTCCAACCATAATTATGGTTTCCACAAAATGGAAACCGGTTTGATGAGTAATGATTGATCTTTATTGTTCACCGATGAAATCCTTAAGCCTTTTTTTCTTTTAATATTGAAAAGTTGTAGATGAATGAGATACATTACCAATCAAAATATCCCACTAACTTCAAATAAAGTTTGAATGGTACAGTATATATCATATAGCACCAATAAACGTCATCAATCGATAATAATTAGTTAGCTCGTATTTCAGACTTGAAAGCTTATTATTTATTTATTTATTTATTATCTTTAGAAAGTATACTTCTTAAAATGTAGCCTTCAAAAGTTTTCATTTTTAATTCTTTTTGATAATTTATTTTCAAATAACTCATTTTTTTAGTCTTTTTTTTTATAAGTCCGTTAATGGAAGAAAAAAAATTCAAAAAGTGAGTACGTAACTTTAGACATTCAAGAATTAAATTATACAAATATTAAATTGATAAATCTTTTATAATTGATATATAAATATTGAATTGGTAAAATAAATTTACCAATAATATGTAAATATATAACCTTTATTGTTTTCCCTATAATATTAACAAAATCATAAATGAAACAGTTTTAGAGAAAAAAATACAAAGAAAGCATTGTTGAATAATAATAATTACTATAATTATAATTGTAAAGAATTCAATAGACTAATCCATTAATCATAAAAAATTATAAGAGAAGTTTTAAAAATTATAAGACATATCTAAGAGAAATTCAATACTTATAAATATGCCGTGTAGCTATATATCATGTCATATGGCACGCATATATCATATACTTTTATATATATATATATATATTAGTGAAAAAGGGTACTTTGTACTTTTAGGTGTTTATTTAAAAATAAAAAATATATATTAAAAAATAATAGTAATTAGGTGACATTTGGTGATTTGTTATATATATATATATTACAAGATCATAAATACCATATACAAGTATTGAATTTTAGTCCTGTAAACAAAGAAAAGAACTAAAAGATATTTATATTCTAAATGGTTACATCCAATTCAACTCCAACATGGTGTAAAATCCAAATAATGAGGAAGATAAACAAAAATATATTATATGGATAATAGGTATTTAAATTATTATTATTATTATTATTATTATTATTATTATTATTCAAATAACATTGTCTTAATATTTATTTTTAAAATTGTTACACCGAGGCAAATAATAAAGATTGGCAAATAATAAAGATTATGTTTGTATATATCAATGGTAAAAAAAATTATCAATTCAATATCTATATATCATTGGTAAAATCAATATTTATACATTTATCGGAGATGTTTTAAGGTCGAGATATTATCGCCTTGTCAGTTTCGTTTATAAGAAAAAATTGTTTATTTGATTGTTTATATAGAGTACTTTCATAGCTAAAAATGAGTACTCTTAAATCTTTAATGATTAAATTATACATAGATATTTATACATTTAGAAGCAAAAGATAAAGTAACAATTCTTTTTTTTTTTTTAATTAGCCTCTTAACTAACCTAAAAAGATAAAATTTGTGAAAATTTTTGGAGGTCCCATTGAAAAGATAAAGATTCTAATTATGGTAATACAAAGAAACAGTAATTAATTAATTAATTTTTGTATATGCTTACTTTGGTAGTTTCACTGTCGATTTAGGGATGGTAAAAATACTCGCACCCGTGAGTATTTATGGATAAAATTGATAATAAATTAATAGGTTAATTGGGTACCTGTGATAAATGATGGGATAGCTGGCCCCAAGATTTAACGCGACTGCATACACAAGGCAGGATTCAAACCCCTGACACTTGCTTAAACGTGGATCAACCCCTACCGTTGAACCACACGTTTGGAGTTTCTTATATGAGACTTTCACTTGTGAGATTGATGTATTTTAAGTTATTGATTATCTTGCATTTTTATTATTATTTCAACAAAATTAATGTTAAATACAAGTTCAAAATTAACATTAAATTTTTATTTTTAATATTTTAATGACATTAAATATAAATATAAAATTATTTTTAATATAATTTTAAAAAAATTTATAAATATCCATGGATATCCTTGAATATTCGTGAGTATTCAAGAAATTCATGAATATTTACTTAATGAATACCCGCACAGATATGAGATAGATATGTGATCAATTTTCATCTCGCGAAACAAAGATAAATTTACTATTACTCACTCCTATAAGCTCATTGCCATCCTAGTCGAAACTCCAAATTAATCTTATGACTTTTTTTGCACAATCATGCGATCTTCCTTGTCCGAATTATTTACTATATTTGATCGAGTGTCCAGGAATTCCGTATGTTTTATGATTGTTCAATGACAGTATACTAAAAATGCGGAACACAT